CCAGATTTATAGCTGAATTTTACCAGAGGTACAAGAAAGGCTGATACCATTTCTACTGAAACCACTCCAAAAAATTGAAAAGGATGACCTCCCACCAAACTCATTTTATGAGGCCGGCATCATTCTGATACCAAAACCTAACAGAAGTACGATGACAGCAGCAAGAAACTTCAGGCCAATCTTAAAGTTTTAAAGAGATTGCCAAGCAGTTTTCCAAAGTGGCAGTATTTTTCATTTTCACCAGCAATTTGGGGGGTTCTAATGGCTTTCCAACATTTGATATTGTTAATATTTTTAATTTTAACTGTCCTAATGGAAGTGTACTAGTATCTTTTGTGGTTTTGATTTGCATATAAATTATATCTAATAATGTTGAACACTTTTCATGTGTATTAACCATTTGTTTATTTTCTTGTTTGAAGTGTCTGCTCATATTTTTTGCCCATTTAAAAAATTAGAATTTTGTTCTTAATGTAGAAACCAATTTTTGGTGCCACAAAAGAAATAGCACTGCCACATAAATTTTCTCAGCAAGGCAAATTGACTTCTACAGAAGGGTGCATCTCGCAGATGGAGCAATGGCGAGAGCACACTGGACAAGGGAGGTTAAGGCATTCTTATCCCTAACACAGCTAGTCCCTACTGCTGTGTCATTCCCCTGTTGGCTAGGGTTGGACCACACAGTTTAAGCTAATTCCAGTTGGCTAATTTGAAGGGAATAGGGTTATGGGTGGGAGTGGTGGAGTGAACAGTTTTGGTGGGGAGGACAGTTACAGAATAAGTTACTAAGGATGACTAAGGACACAATAGGTGACTGAGGATGACTAAGGACTCTAAATATGTGAGTATGGAGGCCAGGAGAGGGGTGTTTACTGAAAGTAGGGACAAGGAGGCATAAACAACAAAGAAGTTAAACTTTAAAAAGGAGAACAAAGGACAGGAAAGTTAAACATACTGACATATTGGTTCTTTGAAGAGGAACTCAGAAGTCATTATACTTAACAATTTCCCCCCTCTTGAATTTTAAAGGAAGTTAACAGGCTAAATTTTGAAAAGGAATACACCATATCCTACATTACTATTTTTTAAATACAGACAATCCAAGTTTTATATGGTCAAAAGATATATTTCTATATTCTGGATATGACTAATGTGTCTTATAAAGTTATTAAATATTTCCCCCCCAGTTTGTAATCCTTTGTTTATTCTCTTAATGTATTTTGATAAACAGAAGTTTAAAAATTTTGTTAGTGTTCAATTTACCAATTTTCCTTTATGGCTAGTGTACTTACTGTGTCTTTGAAAAAGGCACTTTTATTTTGAATTTTCTAATGTACACAGTAAAATGAATTCTAGCTGATTTACTGTTTCATGGTAACAAAGTGTTTGAAAATCTGTCCATTTTTAGTTTAAAATAAATATAGGTGTTCTTTAAATATTTATTTGATTTTCTAAACATTTTAGAAACTCAATTGCTAAGTAATAAATGTCAATTCAAATTTTAAGCATATTTCATATGATTAAGCCTCATAAAATTTGTGTAGCATACTTAAATAACTCACCAATGGATTTTACTACTTGTGTAACTATTTGAGTGCCATCGACATCATCAGAGTTTTAGAAATGTTTATGTGTAATATACTCTATTTTATTATTAGCTTTTCTCTTATATAAATGCAAACAAATTTTCAACATTATGCATTCCTTCATAATGGCAATGTGTGTGTGTGTGTGTGTGTGTGTGTGTGTGTGTGTGTGTGTGTGTTTATGTATTTGGAGGACTCCTTTGAAGAGGAGCTTTTCAAATAATTTATTTTTTCATACAATGGTTATAAAAGGAAATCAGACTGTCTAAAATTATGTTCTTCAAATAAGAGAAGCAAGAAACTTGCGTTCATTTTAACATTATGCAGAAGAAATCTGTTTACATGCTAAAAATAGAAGGCATGGAATTTAGTAGGATAATGTTTTCCTTTGATTTAATATTCAACACTTGTATTTGTGCTGAAATGGAAACACAACAGCTATTAGATCTAACCACCAATTTTACCATTATAAATTAATTTACAAGGTGACATCTATGGCCAACTTTTAAAAACATACATAAAATATTTTTTCCCTATGTCTCATTTTTTTGCAGTCTAAAAAATTTTAAAAATACATTTTGATTGTTAATAGCTTATTTACACCAATTTTTTTTTAAAAACCATTGTCTGTTTAATGTATCTGTTTTCTATCTTTTGTGAGTTCTAATCCTGGTTTCACTACATATGAGCTATGTGAATATATCAATTACTTAGTATGTGATATTGATATAATAATACTCTATAACTTATAAAGTTATTGGGAAAGTTAATGAAATTATAAACATAAATAGCTTAAAATAGAAACTAGGGCATTTAGTAAGCATTAAATAAATGTTAACTATTGTTACTAGTATTATATATGAATATACATATTTATAACATATCTACCAGTTATATTTATTTTATGGAAATAATTGATATATATGTAAAATATATAAATGTGTACATGTACACAGTATATAGATATGTAAATACACGCATACCATAGGGATGTTTTGGCTTTGGTTCCAGACCACCTGAACAAAACAAATAGCATTAAAAAAAGCAAAGTTTTTCATTTTCCCATACATGCAAAAGTTATAGTTACACTATCTACTGACATTTCAACAATGTTCATAGAATCTTCACTGGGAGATTTCATCTCAAGAAACCACTTTCTTTGCTCATCTAGAAGAAGCAACTCCTCATCCATTAAAGTTTTTTTTTTTTTTTTTTAACTTTTATTTTAGATTCAGAGGTACATGTACAGGTTTGTTACACAGGTAAATTTCATACCACGGGGATCTGGTGTACAGATTATTTCACCACCCAGGTAATAAGCCTGGTACTTGATAGGTAGTTTTTTGATCCTCTCCCTCCTCCCATACTCCCACCCTCCAGTAGGCCCTTGTGTATGTTGCTCCTTTATTTCTTCCCACATTTTCTCAATGTTTAGTTCCCACTTAAAAGTGAGAACATGTGGTGGCATTTGGATTTCTGTTCCTGTTTTAATTTGCTTAGGATGTGGCCTCTAGCTCCAAACATCTTTCTGCAAAGGATGTGATTTTATTCTTTTTATGACTGCATAGTATTCCACGGTTATAGCTGAAAGCAATTGCAACAAAAACAAAAATTGACAGACGCAACCTAAATAAACTAAAGAGTTTCTGTACCATGTAAGAAACTATTATAGTTTTATCATGAGACTGCAGCAATTCAGTCACATTTTCAGCCTCCATTTCTGATTCTAGTTCTCTTGCTATTTCCATCATTTATGTAGGTACTTCCTCCACTGAAGTATTGAAACCATCAAAGTCCTCATGAAGGTTTGGTGAGTGTTTTCCCCATGTGATTTTCATGGCTAAAATCAGAAGAGTAAAATATTTTATCTCACGGATATATTGGAAAAGTATGAAATTAATACATGCAGTGCCTTGGAGAGAAGAAACATGGGTGACAATAGTAGAGGATCTAAGTTCTAGAGTTTTATATTTTAATTTTTTTCATTTTTTTGAGATAGAGTCTCTCTGTGTTGTCCATGCAGGAGTGCAGTGGCATGATCACAGCTCACTGCAACTTCTGCCTCCTGGGTTCAAGCAATTCTCTCATCTCAGCCTCCTGAATAGCTGGGACTACAGGTGCGTGCCACCATGCCCAGCTAATTTTTGAATTGTTAGTAGAGATTGGGTTTCACCATATTGGTCAGGCTGGTCTTGAACTCCTGGCCTTAGGTGAGCCACCTATGTCGGCCTCTGAAAGTGCTGGGATTACAGGGATGAGCCACTGTGTCTGGCTTAGAGTTTAAGATTTTATAGAAATCTTATTATTTTTGGATAAAGTATTTTGTGGAAACTTTTGCAAAAATATTTTTGTCTACCATGTTTATGAAATGGCAACATAATCAGGTCACATCACCTCAATTATGTCTTGGCTTTGGTCCTCATTACTCTATCCCTTGATTTCTTCATCTATAAAAATGAAACAAAATAGTATTTATGTATCAGGTTTATTGTATTATTTAATCCTTGAGATTATAGTAAGAAATATGCCTGACACTGAATAATGTCACATATTGTTTTTCTCTTTTAAGCCATGTTTCCTTTCCACTTCTCTGTTAAATATAGTAACAAGAATGAGTGATACTCTGACCAATTAGGGGATCCCAAATTTCATGTTGCACTCATGAATTTGTTTGGACATATGATTTAAGACAAGCCAATCAGAACTTCCTGTGGGCTTATTTCTCGCCTCTATTTTTCTTAAATTGAGATCAAGTTTTAAAGATGAAGTAGGTATTGTGTCACCAGTGTTTATTTTGCAAGTAGAGCCAAGATGATAGAGAAATACAGATCAACAGGTAGGTAGGTAGATAGATAGTAATAGCGATAAGGGGCGGGAAGTGGGGAGAGAGAGAAAGATCTGGTATCTGAACATCTGAATTAATCCGTGATGGTTAATTTTATGTGCCAACTGGAGTGGGTGAAGAGATGACCAGATAATTGGTAAAATATTATTTCTGGGTGTGTCTGTGAGGAAGTTATCAGAAGAGATTAACATTTGAATTCGTATACTAAGTCAAAAAGATCGTCCTCACCAATGTAGGTAAGCACTATCTTTGAGAGCCTGCATAGAACAAAAATGCAGAGGAAGGGAAAATTTGTTCTCTCTGAGATGGAACATTTATCTTCTGCTCTTGGAGATTGGTGCTCCTGATTTTTTAACCTCTGAGCTTGGACCAATTTTTATAACAGTGCCCTACCACCTCTATGCATTTGTACTCAGGCTGAATTACATTACTAGCTTTCCTGAATTTGTCAGCTCCCATCAATTCTTACTTTTCATAGGAGTGTGTGTGTGTGTGTGTGTATGTGTGTGTGTATGTGTATGTGCCTATTGGTTCTGTTTCTCTGGAATAACAGAAATTAGGACAAATACACCATCTGTGCCTGAAGTGCAAAAGATATGCTCCTAGACAATGTAATTATTGGCCAAGTAGTGTTCTTTGTCTCCCTCCCTTCCTTCTTCTCTCATCTCTCTCTCTTTGCCTCCCTCTCTCCCTTACTTTTTTCCTCTCTTCCTTTTTCTTCCATTATTTTATTTCTGCTAGTTTGAATTGGTTTACCGTCACTTGCCATTTTACCAATATAATGGCTTTCTCTAATGAAAAAGTCAGAAAAATAATTGTTTTAATATAGATTTAGAAGATTTGAATATGGACTAGTACAGACACAGCATTAGATCTGAGGTAATTTGTTCTTTTTGGTTGTATTGAGTCCATCCTGTGAAACAGCAGTACACGTTGTATATTCTTAACCTATATACAAATAATAGGTAGGACAAAAAACACCCTAAAAATTGTCTGCTTATACAACAAAATTTATATTGCTTCTTGAACATATTTCTGTTTATTATAAAGAAAATCACTATGTAATAAACATTTAATCAAGCAATTCATTTTTTGTATAATATATATATTGAAGCTTAATGTTATTAATTGAATTTTAGTACTTTATAGCTTCTTATTTAGAAGATAATCAATCACTGCAGAAAAAAGTCATTGATTTATTTTTCCTGTAAATATCAGATTAATGTTTACAAAGATAAATGAATGCCAAGTTTGGAATGTTGTAGGCTTGGACTTATGTTTAAAAATATTTGGCATACTTACACACTCACAGCCACCAAATGAAGTGAGACGATGATCTGATACCAGTTTCCAGAAAAAAAACTTTGGCATTTCCCAAGTTTTCTGGACAACCTAGGATGATTATTGTTATTGCAGTGAATGCAGAACATGCCAATCAAAGTAACTAAGTTCTATTTTCTTTGCGTACTTCCAAATGAAGGTCATATATATATATGCCTTCTACTATCATATTCTAAGGAAGGTACATGTAAGGAATAAGCCTTACAATGGATCAAATTGAGTATTTTAGAATGTTGTTAGTAAACAATGGCATATCAAACTTCATTCAAGGTCTCTTCATTTTCACATTGTCCAGTGAAATATGTCTGTATTTGCATGGCTCTCCCACTTATTCAACATGATGTTTCTAAGCCATCATGAAAAATAATGGTTTTGTATTACACAGAATCCAGGAAACTTACATTTGAGGACCTACCTTTAAAGACTATCATGACCTCTGGATTAATTCACTAATGTTTTCATATCTGTCCTGTCTTTGTTTCTTTAAGGAGGTATAGTTGCAGAAAAATTATTTGCTGATTTTACTTAGGGGAATGGAGGTATAGTAAAAATGTGTATGACAATATTTAAAATGCTAAATCTCATTTATCTTTCAAATCTCAGGTTGTCTTGCCAAATAGTTATCAGAAAGCCACCTGCTTAAAAAGCACAATGAATGGCAAGGCATAAGACTACTGGATCTCTGAGGCATTGCTGAGAAGTCAGCAGCCCTGGAGAGCTGCTGATCTAAAACAGACTTTGATATGTGAAACGACTGAGATTTTGTTACCTTGTTGTTGCCTAATTTAACATAACTAAAACACCTTCCTACCTAGGTCTTTAGTAGATGCAGAACCTCCTATATGCAATTTATAGAATAGAACAACAGGGAGGAACATATTGTCTACCAGGGAAAAAGAGCAAATGGCTGAGCTAAATGTGCCCAATCGCTTTTCACAAATTCATAGATTAGCTGTGGGGGTGGAGTGAATGAAGAGATGCAATGATATTGGAGCTCCTGTGACATATAAGTAAACATTAAGAGTGTGAGGCAGAGTCCAATCCTTTTAATATTTTAGCTCTTCTTGTTCTTATAAACAGCCGAGTTTAATTAATATACCCATAGATTACTAGTGTTGTGTTTGTACCCCTTTGGGAAAAACAGAAGCAGCCTACCATGACAGTCCTGTTTCTATCTTTATGAGGCCACTTCCTCATTATAAACCCACTGTTTCTTTGGGCATTTTTTTCTGGAACCACCAATAGATGGTATAATTTTGTTGCCAGAAGTCTCTGAAATTGGACAAAAAAAAATCTATTATTAAATTAACACTTAGATTGTATTTGTACAAACACTGAAAATTCATTTCCATATCTTTTTACCTTCTTAGGTTGTTTACAGCCATATTGTTTCAACAAAGCCTATTTGTAGTTCATGACATCAGATGACAACACTAAAATGTGCAAATAATAAACTGTCAATATAAAGATAGCCCAATTTCAACATAAACTCCTCTCACATGATTAATTTTTGAGGAGAAATTGACATTCAATGAAATTAAATCCTCTTACAGATTAAAGTACTAAATATAAAAATACAAATACATTGTAATCTAATATCAAATACTATTGTCCCTGGTTGTTAAGTTTCAAAGAAATTAAAATCCAAAGTTTATCCTGCTCTCTTTCTCTATCCCTAGTGGGATTTCCTGTGTTTAGTGTGATTTACAATTTCTTCAGCAGCTGCACCCAAGGGAAACTCAGAAGTTTAATAAATTGAATGCTGACTCTCTAAAGTGACTGCTTTTCAAATGTCCAAGTATTTTGTGGAACATACATAAATATAGCTCTGCTCCCAAGCTTATTGAATTTAGAAAAGTGGCTATTCTCCATTAAACAGATGTTATTCTAAGTAAAATATTGTTGTCAAAATCACTGAGAAGGAGTCAGTTATTTTAAGGAGGGTAGAATACAGAAGCTTCTATCCCAATAGTTTAGTCTCACTAAGATATTAGTTTATACCGGTGGTTTGAAATTTATTACTGTGAATCTATTCTCCAATAAGGAGAGTTCACACATTAGAAGGCAAATTTTGGCATCATATGTTACCATACTTGCAGGAAATATGTTCATCTTCCTATGCATACATGATGAGTGATATGTCAGACAAGGTGTCTATGCTGAACCAAACTCCCATGCCATCTTAGTGGCTTTAAAATATCATTTCTCTCTCTCTCTTTCTTTTTCTTTTTATTTTTTTTGAAAGCTGCTGGTCACTTCAGATCACTGATGACTCTGTTCTACATTTTTTTAAAGTATAGGATCCAGGCTGAAGAATCTTTGCTTATGCAAAACGCGATATTTTCATAGAAGAGGGAAAAGAGAAAGAGAGCTGGCACAAAATAAGCAATGGCTGTTAAACCTGTTGCTTGGACACAGTGAATGTCACATTTGCTCACATGCTGTTGGCCAAAGGGAGCAATATACCAAACTCAACATCAATGGCACAAGTCTGTATATTCCTACACTGGAGGCACTGCACAATTTATGGCAAAAATGGGATGCATAATTCACTTTCAAGAAGTGGGAGTAAATATTTTGTGTCAATAATACAAGCTATTATTACTTAGTTGTGTTTAATCTGCTGTTCAATCTAACCACTCAAGATTTTAAAAATTTTAATTATTATAATTTTTATTTTTGAAAGCGCTAGCTCTTTTTAATAGTATCACCCTATTCATTTTTGTGATTCCATATTTCGTTTTCTTAATATTTTATTGCATATTTATATTTATTATTGTGGACTGTATTTTCCAAAGATGGCCACCACAATATATCCCATCCCATATGCCCTTTTGCAATGTGACATTGCCAATTCCTCAAGATTCCTTAAATCTGGGTAGACATTGTGGCTGCTTGACCAATATTATATGGTGAAAATGGCGCTATTTCAATTCCAAATAAGGCCCTTAATTGTCCCAGAAGACTTTGGCTTGCTTTCTTTTTGAAGAAGGGTTGATAATACTTTTTTCAATGTAAGTATGTCCTGGGTAATAGGACATACTGAACATATGCTGAACATATTTCTTGTTTTTCTTAAATTCAAATTTAAGAGTGAGCTCTGTATTTTTATTTGGTGAACTTGGTAACTTTACTTGGAAGCCAACTAACAATAACAGAAGTGTGATTACCCTGAAACCATGATGCTATGAGAACCCCAAGTTGAGTGGCCAGGCCTTTGAGGATAAAACATGTGGAGAGAAAGAGAAGTCAAGCAGCATTGAGGCACCAACCATATAAATTAAAAAGACTAAAAAAGACATTTTGGAAATACCTTCTCTAGCCCCAGCCGTCCCCCTGATATCAACTGGACCAGAGAGGAAACAACCAGCTGAGACCTTTCCAAACTCCTGACCCACAAAAGTTGCGAACAAAATAAAATGGTTGATTTTAATCAGAATTGTTGGGCAGTTTGTTATAGAACAATTGATAAAATAAATCTGTATTTGAAAAACAAAACCAAAGCAGAATGTTTTAGTAGGTCTAATTATGATTTGTTGTTCTTTTGTTGTTATTCCTGCTGATTTCTTCTGAATTTGGTCATCTTTGATTATGAACTCTTGTTTGATTGATTTTTTGTTTTTATTTCTTCTAAAAGATTTTTCCATAGGTGGTTGGGGTACAGGTGGTATTTGGTTACATGAGTAAGTTCTTTAGTGGTGATTTGTGACATTTTGCTGCACCCATTACCTGAGCAGAATATGCTGCACCCTATTTGTGGTCTTTTATCCTTTGCCCCTCTACTCTTCCCCAAGTTCCCAAAGTCCATTGTATCATTCTTCTGTCTTTGCCACTTCATAGATTGGCCCTCAAACATCAAGGAGAACACACGGTGTTTGGCTTTCCATTCCTGAATTACTTCACTTAGAATAGTCTCCAGTCTCATCCAGGTAGCAGCAAATGCCATTAATTCATTCCTTTTTATAGCTGAGTAGTATTCAATCATATATTGTGTGTGTGTGTGTGTGTGTGTGTGTGTGTGTGTGTGTGTGTATGGGTGTACAACAGTTTCTTTATCTACTCATTGATAGATGGGCATTTGTGTTGATTCCAAAATTTTGCAAAGGTGAATTGTGCTGCTATAAACATGCGTGTGCAAGTATCTTTTTTGTATAATGACTTTTTTTCCTCTTGGTAGATACCCAGTAGTGGGATTGCTGGATCAAATGATAGTTCTACTTTTAGTTATTCAAGGAATCTCTACACTGTTTTTCGTAGTGGCTGTACTAGTTTACATTCCCACCAGCAATGTAGAAATGTTCCCTGATCACTGTATCCATGGCAATATCTCCTTTTTTTAATTTAATTTTTTATTATGGCCATTCTTGCAGGAGTAAGGTGGTATCACATTATGGTTTTGATTTGCATTTCCCTGATCATTAGTGATGTTAAGCATTTTTCATATGTTTGATGGCCATTTGTATATCTTCTTTTAAGAATTTTCTATTCATGTCCTTAGCACACGTTTTGTTGGGATTGCTTTTATTTTTTCTTACTGATTTGTTTGAGTTTGTTGTACAGTCTGGACATTGGTCCTTCATCAGATGTGATGTATAGATTGTGAAGATTTTCTCCCAATCTGTAGTTTGTCTGTTTACTCTGCTGACTGTCTGTTTGTTTTGATGTGGAAAAAACTCTTTAGTTTAATTAAGTCCCAAATACGTGGAAGCTGAACAACCTGCTCCTGAATGACTACTGGACACATAATGAAATGAAGGCAGAAATAAATATGTTCTTCGAAACCAATGAGAACAAAGACAAGATCAAACAAATTCAAAAGCTAGCAGAAGACAAGAAATAACTAAGATCAGAGCAGAACGGAAGGAAATAGAAACACAAAAAACCCTTCAAAAAATCAATAAATCCAGGAGCTGGTTTCTTGAAAAAATCAGCAAAATAGATAGACTGCTAGCCAGGCTAATAAAAAAGAAAAGAGAGGAGAATCAAATAGATGCAATGAAAAATGATAGAGGGGATATCGCCACAGATCCCGCAGAAATACAAACTGCCATCAGCAATTACTACAAATACCTCTATGCAAATAAACCAGTAAATCTAGAAGAAATGGATAAATTCCTGGACACTTAATTACCATTTTGATCTCACTGCTTGTTATTGGTCTATTCAGGGTATCTAATTCTTCCTGATTTAAGCCAGGAGGGTTATATTTTTCCAGGAATTTATTCATCTTTTCTAAGTTTTCTAGTTTATGTCCATAAAGGTGTTCATAGTATCCTTGAGTATTCTCTTGTATTTCAGTGGTGTTATTTTGTTTCCTAATGAGTTTATTTGAATTTTTTCTTTTTTCTTGGTTGATGTTGCCAATGGTCTACCAATTTTATTTATCTTTTCAAGGAGCCAGCTGTTTGT